GGGGAGAGTCTGATTTCTGTAGGCAGGCTATTCCATAGGAAGGGAGCTGCCCGCGAGAAGTCCTGCAAGCGTGAGTTGGCCGTACGGGTGCGGACAACGGACAGGAGGTGGTCACGGGCAGAGCGGAGAGACCGAGAAGGGACATACCTATGGATCTGTGAGGAGATATAAGAGGGGCTAGAGTCATGGGCGTCCGCAGGAATTTTTCCAGGGGGGGGGGCATAATTGTAATGACATCCATGCTTGGCCCCTTTTTGACAGTGTCATGAAAGGGAAGGAGCATAGTCATTTTCACATAAAGCCAGGGTGAATAGCTTTTTTACAACTATGGTGTCAGGAATATATGTTTGTATTCCTGACAATATAGTGTTCCTTTAATCAAATTAAAAGGAACTTTCTGGTCACCATAACAACTTCAACTAAATGAAAATGCTATAATGCAAGGAGGCCTCTGGGCGCTCTCTTTCCTTTAAGGGGTGAAACCACTCTCAAATGGTTTACCCCCAAAGGCTTCCTCCAGCTCCAGTTCTCCAGGTCACTCAGTGGTATTCAGCTTCTTAAACGGAGTGTCAGGAAGTGCAGACTGACGTCAGGCATGGGTGCCGCTGATTGGCTAGAGTGGTCAGCTGATACTCTAAGCCAATCGCTAGTTCCCGATTCATAAAAATGTTTTATGTTTTCATGAATGGGGAGCTATTGATTGGCTTAGAGTGGCAGCTGACCCTCTATCCAATCAGCAGCACCCCTACCCAGTGGCCCTCTGTGTTTCCTGACACTCAGTAAATTAAAGTGAACACATTAACACTGATATTTTTTTTTTACCTGGGGAGATGAGAAGGTCCAGGTACCAAAGCCTTATGATGTGGTGTCCAGAATGAAGTGCTCCAAACTCATTTTCTTCTCCTTCATTTGACACAGTCTTCTTTTTCTTCTGAGGCTCCTTCTGCAGAGGCGGCTCTAGACTTTATGAGGCCTTAGGCGAAACTCAAACATGAGGCCCCACTAACTAAAAAGTGGGAAAAAAAAGAGTTGCAGTACATGCACACTGTCACATATACACATTGATGCACAATTTACCTGTGTATGTGCCTGAGAGTGTGTCTGACAGAGAGTATCCATGTGTGTGTGTGTGAATGTATGTCTCTGTGGGCATGTTTGCGTTTTTGTCTGGTACCCTATGTGTATGGGGTAGCTGCTAGAAGAGGGGGGTGATGGTGAGAGAGACAGGCGGGGGATGGTGGGGGGGTGGTGTGAGGAGGGTAATGCTGCTGAGGGAGGGATGGGGGGTAATGCTGTGGTGGGGGTGATGCTGAGGGAGGGAGTGATGGTGAGGGGGGTAATGCTGAGGGTGGGGGGTGATAGTGAGTGGGTGATGCTGAGGAAGGGGTGATGTTGAGGGAGGTGGGGGGATGCTGCTGAGGGTGGTGGGGGGTGATAGTGAGGGGGTGGTACTGAGGGAGGGGGTAATGCTGAGGGTGGTGATAGTGAGGGGGTGGGATGCTCAGGGTGGTGAGGGAGTGTAATAGTGCCCCCCATCCCTCACTTACCTGATCTGCAGGCTGCTTCTGTGCTGCTCCCCTGCGGTTTCAGTTATAAGGGAGAGGCAAGGATAAGCTGTAGCTTCCTGCCTTTTAACATTCACCTACTGGCCGGCCCCGGTATTGCAGTGTATTCTCACACAAACCAAAAATAGCAGCACAAGCTGAAAATCCAGGGAGGGGGGGAAGTGTCCCCTCTTGCCCCCCCCCTGCGGACGCCCATGGCTAGAGTTGTTCAGTGCTTTATAGGTGTGACTTAGTACTTTGAATTGACTCCTATAGCATACAGGAAGCCAATGTAAGGACTGGCAGAGGGGTGAGGTGTGAGAGAACCAACTAGAGAGGAAAATCAGTATGGCAGCAGGGTTCATTATGGACTGTAGCGGTGCAGTACGGCTTTTGGGAAGACCTATTAGAAGAGGGTTACAATAATCGATGCAGGAAATTACTAGAGCATGGACAAGCTCCTTGGTAGTATCTTGCGTAAGAAAAGGGCGGATGCGGGCTATGTTTTTAAGATGGAATCTACAGGATTTGGCAACATGCTGGATGTGAGGCTCAAAGGTAAGGCCAGATTCAAGTACGACGCCAAGACAGCGCGCTTGCAAGGATGGACTGATGGGGGTACCACTAACTTGAAGGGAGAGTAAAAGAGGAGGATCAGTATTAGGAGGAGAAAGACAAGGAGATTGAGTTTCAGAAAGGGGGAGGACATCCAGTCAAAGATGGAAGAAAGGCAAGAAGTGACACATTGCAGGACGGCAGGGGAGAGGTCCGGGGAGGAGGGATATAACTGGGTGTCATCAGCGTACAGGTGGAAGTGGAATCCAAAAGAGGTAATAAGTTTGCCAAGAGAGGCAGTATAAAGAGAAAATAGAAGGAGACCAAGGACAGAGCCTTGGGGGACTCCAACCGAGACAGGACGAGGGGAGGAGGTATCATTAGAAAAGGCGACACTGAATGAGTGTTGGGAGAGATAAGAGGAAAACCACGAGAGGACAGAGTCACAGAGACCAAGTGATTGAGAGTTTGAAGAAGGAGAGCATGATCAACGGTGTCAAAGGCCACAGAGCGGTCAAGAAGAATTAGTATGGAATAGTGGCCTTTGGATTTAGCTGCGATTAGGTTGTTAATAACTTTGATAAGTGCAGTCTCAGTAGAGTGGAGAGGGTGGAAGCCAGATTGAAGAGGGTCAAGGAGAGAGTTGGAATTAAGGAAATGAGACACGCGGGTAAAGACAAGTCTTTCCAGAAACTTTGAGGAAAAAGGGAGCAGGGATATGGTACGATAGTTAGAGAGGGTGGACGGGTCGAGGGATGTTTTTTTTAGTATAGGTACTACAGTGACATGTTTAAGGTCAGCAGGGACAATGCCAGAAGAGAGAGAGCAGTTGAAGATGTGCGTTAAGGAAGGCACAAGACAAGTGGAGAGAGATCTAATAAGGTGAGATGGGACAGGATCGAGTGGGCAAGTGGTGGGGCAAGAGGAAAAGAGAAGAGCAGCCACCTCTTGGTCAGTAGCCGGGGAAAATGTCTGAAGGGTAGGAAAGGCATGATCTATGTGTGGTTGAGAAACAGAATGGCAAGGAGGGGAGAATTATTTCCTTAGCTGTTCACTTGTCAGTAAAGTAACATGCAAAGTTATCAGCAGTAAGGTTAGTTTGGGGGGTGGCCACAGCAGGGCGAAGAAGAGAATTAAAGGTGTCAAAGAGACACCTGGGATTGCGGTAGCATGAACTAATGACAGAGGAAAAGTAGGACTGTTTGGCAAGGGCAAGGGCTGCGCTGTATGAACACAATATGAATTTATAATGGAGAAAGTCTGACTGGGTGCGAGACTTTCTCCAGGAGCGTTCAGCACAACGGGAGCATCTTTGCAGGTAGCGTGTTGTTTTAGTATGCCATGGTTGGGGACGGGTCTTCCTCGAGGTGCTTGTTTGGAGTGGTGCTGCAGCGTTCAAGGCAGAGGTAAGGGTAGTGTTATATGCAGAGATGGCCAGTGAAGGACAGGCGAGGAAAGGGATGGACAGCAGTCGTGAATCAATATCAGCTGACAACTGCTGGAGATCAAGAGAATTAAGGTCCCTCCTGAGTTGAGGTGGGGGTTAGGTTGAGGTTGTTGGGTGAGGGAGTACACAAGAGCAAATGATAAGAGGTGGTGATCAGAGAGAGGAAATGGAGTGTTGCAGATATTAGATACTGTACATGCATAAGAGAAAATTAGGTCAAGGATATTGCCAGCTACATGGGTGGGAGAATTAGCCCACTGTGATAGCCCAAGGGAGGAGGTAATTGAAAGTAGTTTAGAGGCTGCAGAGGTCAAAGGTGGGACACTTCACACTCCTAAAGAACTTTAGCTTGCTGAAGTACTTTATGTGTAAAGTAAGTGTCTTCTTTTTGTATTTTACAAAAAGTACACATTTTAATAGTTACATCCTAGTCATTTAAAACACAGTGGAGCTAAACTCAAGAGGTAGTGAGTTGATGAGATCCTCTGCCTTGCAAAGACTTCTCATTGAACTTCTTCTGGGGAAGGTCTGTGACAGCTACAGGAAATCTGTGATGGGTTGGAAGGGAAGGGCTTGCAAAAAAAAGCTTTAAACAAGCTGTTTTAGATATATCCCCAATGAAAATATGCACAATTACATGCATCCATTTTTAATTGGAGTATGTGTACTAAACGGTGAGTTTGTTTTGTGGTTAGCAGTGAACTGTGCCTTTAAGCATGAAAGCAGCCTAAACCCAGGTAATTGTTGTACCTTCCTAATTAATTATGATGAGCAGCTGTATGTATGCAATTATTTCACAACCACCAACTAACCAAGGAGAGTAAAAAAAAAAAAAAAGTAAATCTAAAACAAAACAAGATCTTCTATATTGACCAATAGACCCAAGCGGAGCTCACTCCTGGAAACAAAGGGATATAGGTCTTACATCCTCCAAGTTCTTCAATTTCCTATCGCTATCCCCCTCACCCCCCTTTGAATATCACCTCTCTAGCTTATACCTTTTTTTTTTTTCCAAATCTTTCCCTCATTTATCTTAAGGTATGAATACAGTGAAAGTCCCATATCCCTGTGATGACTACCCATTAGGTGAAACACGTTGTGCTTTGTATTCTTGTTCCCATGTTTGGTTTTATTTATGTGAGTAATAAAGTGTAATCTATATTATACTCCTGGACCTTCCTGATGATAATACATCATTTTCCTTGTTGGTGAATATACCACTCAAGCGTTTTTGATTGAGCAAAATTTTGCTCTCAAAAAAGTAAGTACATCTCCTATTTTTACATGTTCTTATAACCAGTGTGCAATATATATATATATATATATATATTTATTTATTTATATCTACGGCGAGGATTTTACCTACCCATAGAAAGAAACAAGTCTGCACCTATTTCCCAATAGAGATGTCGCGAACCGTCCGCGAACTTCTTGCGAACGGTTTGTGGCGAACTCCGGTCAGCTGACACATCCCTGCCAATCTCTGGCAGACCCTCCCACCTCCTAGACAGCTTCAACATGGATGCTGTCCAGTAAGTAGGATGGTCTGCTGGAGATTGGCCGGGATGTGTCAGCTGACCGGAGTTCGCGGCGAACCATTCGCAGGAAGTTCGCGACATCTCTATTACCCAACAGTGGGGATTATTCCACTCCAGGCCATATGCAACAAGACATTAGGGAGCTCTAACAAATGTGAGTATGCATTTTTATTTCCTGACATATTGCACTATTTTTTTGCTCTTGTGATTATGCTACATATGCATACCTGATTCGGTCGGATGTACTGCCCAGGTGCTACATCTAGAGCTAAGATATAGCTCAATACACTGTAAATGTATTTCCTTCTGTTTTTAATTTGAAAATTTGACATAGTGCACCATATATTTTTCCTCTATGTTCCCACTTGAAATTTGACAATCCCTCCAAGGCACTTCTCCAAATTTTTCATCTCCTCTACTCAAGGTGTGTGAATAAAACAGTTCTATTGCAGAACACAACGCTTCGACCTCCGCTGAGGTCTTTATCAAGCTAGCTCAGCCAAGGTTGAAATGTCTAGATGTTCTCCAATAAGACTTCCTTATTCACACACCTTGAGTGTCTGGTACCAGTTTTTTTTTTTTTTTTTTTTATAAAAGTGATAGAGGATCCAGTTAAGCATCTTGTTTGTGGGGAGAGAGTGGGAAACCTTTTGTTTCCATAGTGCAATTCTTGTAGTGTTTAGACATCAACCTTGTGTAATGTACCAAGACCTTAACAAATGCATGCTTCAATTCATGCCTTACCAACATCTGGTAAACAATTATTGAAATGAATTTATTCTTCGGTTATATTTATTTCGAACCAGTTGAGATATATACATAGGTATAACTAAAAACACACACCACTGTGGTCAAACAGGTGGCCCCTATATTAGGGAAGGGGGAATTCAATTTATTATTTGCTGGATAGTACATGCAAGTACTACAAATGGGTTAAGCTCTTTCCTCTCAGCTGGTAAGGACAGGAGTATCCAACTCGTAATTTAAAAAGGTTCTTTAAAAAAAAAAAAAATAAAAAAAAGAATTTTCCTTAACAGTAAACGTTTCCCCAGTCCTTTAGCTGCTAGGCAGTTTACCATTTTGGTCAGGGTTTTTTTTTTTCTTCTTACTATGAACTCATCTGCCATTAAATTTTTCATTATGATCCCCGAAGGAGTTCAGTCTCTCTCCCCATGAAAGAACCCAGATACAGCCTAAACAGTTTAGGACTCCCTTGGTTATTTTAGGATATACCCATGGACATATTCTGTTTATTTAAAATCAATATTGTTATAAATAATTAAGATCATTTTGTTTTAAGTGCACTCATCTTGTTGGTGGTAAATGGGCCTCTTTGCGGTGTTTCTGCTTTTATTGGGTGTCTTTAAAGTTACCTCTATAGGCTTGCTTACAGTGTAATAGATCTGCTTGTCATTCATGTAAAATAAATGAGAAAAAAAAAACAAACAAAAAAACACAAACACACACACTACACAAGCGCCATTAGGGCTCAAGGGATGCAAGTACTTATAAATGCCTTGTTGTGTGCGGTTCGGCAGATTAACATGTGACTAAAAACACTGGAAATCATGGAAAGATTTATCCTAAGAGCTTGGTGATGTTAAATCCTGACAGTCTAGCATTAGACACCCATAAGCTACACGAACAGTACTCTGGTTCCAGATATTTCAAAAGCGTTTACTGGATTCCCAATGAAAGCTAGCAAACTAATTTTGTAGGAACATATCCAAATTTACAGTCACACTGAAGTCTCTATGCAAACATTAGTATTCGTTGTATATTTGCTTTAATAAAACCAGACACTGGTCAATACTTAAGACGTCAAAAGTAATAATAATTAGAAAAATAAAATAAAAAAATTGTAAAAATCACATATATGTTTTATAGTAATTTACAAGAAAATGGTACACTTTTAGATACAGAGGTAGAAATACACTTTACAATGCGTGTTACTAAATCCAAGGCACAATTGTAAAATGTTTTCTGTACAAAACATGAAAAAAAAAAAAGGAAGTTTTCTAACATAAAAAAAAAAAAAATCCCATCTTTACACCCTTAAATATTTCACATGTACAAGTAGTGAGGATTTGTTTCAATGGCATATACATGAAGATTTTCTACATGCCAAAATGACGATATCGGGGAAGGGATCAATGCAATTCTTTCCCCAGAATTTCATGCAGTCTTCAACAACTTGTTTTTAGAGTTAAAATGTGGGCACTCTGCTATGTCCCCCCCCCCCCAAATTGCTGCTTTACAATTTATAGTTCAGCATAAATAAGAAATTTCATCATGAAAGATTGTAACCTATCAAAAAATACCAACAATGCAAAAATAAAAAATTGCATTAAAAAGAAACAAAAATGTGCTAAAAACCTATTTTTTTAACTCCAGATAATTAGAGAATTTCCATTCAAACATCTAAAAATGGAACTAGAATTATATGAAGTTTTATTAATCCTTTTAAAATACATGTTAGTGTAACAGTGTGTTTAAAGAAATGGATTTGCTACACTTTACTGTATGTACAGTACCACTAAAGAAGCAAATTTATTGCTACGATTATGCTTTATATTATACCCTTATTGGTCACATTTTGCTAGAACTCTAAAGTCAAATGTACAGTGTATAGAACAGGGCTGGGAAGGGAAAGCCTCATGGGAATATGATGTTCAGTCCATGAGCTGAGATGCCACAATGCTGTAGGAATAATGGACACACATCATACGGATGCACAAGTGCTTCTCCCAATTCAGTCAGTCAATTTGTTGACTGTGCAGTACATTAAATGTCAGTCTAAGCACAAAACACAAAAATAGGAGTTACACGAAGTAGACAAAAAGGTTAAATTCCATTTTTAGCTTCATTGTTGTTCGTGGCTTGTTTCCTTTGAGCGATGAAAGGGTACATGCATTTATCTGCTCCTAGAAACCGGTACATGCAGACCACAGCTTCAAACGGCAGGATGCTGGAAGAAAAGAAGATGATTTGTCAGTACATATACAACATATGGGAAACCTAAAATCTAAAGTTATTCTTAAAGGACCACTCTAGGCACCCAGACCACTTCAGCTTAATGAAGTGGTCTGGGTGCCAGGTCCAGCTAGGGTTGACCAATTTTTTTTTTATAAAACATAGCAGTTTCAGAGAAACTGCTATGCTTATAAATGGGTTAATCTTTCCCCCAAAGCCTTTAGTGGCTGTCTCATTGACAGCCGCTAAAGGCGCTTGCGTGCTTCTCACTGTGAAAAATCACAGTGAGAGCACGCAAGCGTCCATAGGAAAGCATTGATAATGCTTTCCTATGCGACCGGCTGAATGCGCGCGCAGCTGTTGCCGCGCGTGCGCATTCAGCCGACGGGGAGGAATGGAGGAGGATAGCTCCCCGCCCAGCGCTGGAGAAAGGTAAGTTTTACCCCTTTTCCCCTTTCCAGAGCCGGGCGGGAGGGGGACCCTGAGGGTGGGGGCACCCTCAGGGCACTATAGTGCCAGGAAAACGAGTATGTTTTCCTGGCACTATAGTGGTCCTTTAATACAAATTATATACTGGCAAAGTGGGACTAGTGGCAGTAACATGCAGATAGGAAATTAAGACCACTGTAACTTTTCCCCCTGTATCATGCTCTTTGCGACCCGTGGCATTTCCTTAAGTCACGCACAAGAAGATCTTCAAAAGAGAAAATTGTCACTCCTCTGAAATTTACAATATTGAATTAAACCTTAAAAGGCATCTATAACACTTTAACCTTTGTAAATTCAGATGCTCTATTTTCCTCCAACTTTAGATTTAAGAAATTGTGTCATAATCTAATTCAAACATGGTAAACACAGGGCCAGTGTTAATATTGTCGACTCACAATTTTAGTGGGCTAAAACAATTCAGATGACTAAAATAGCTTTTTAGTCGAAAGACTATGACTAAAGCTAAATTTAAATTTGCTGCCAAAACTAACACTGCACAGCGGGACTGTGAAAGGGGCAAAAGAGACAGATCAGGGCTTGGCAGAGAGACACCTAGAGGGGCAGGGAAGAAAAATAAAAGTCAGATAGAGGGTTTAACTAAACCCATTTTCTCAACTGAAGATTTAGTCAACTAAAACGTCTCGATTCAAAAGCCCATAACTAAAACTAGATTGAAATTTGCCGCCAAAATGAACACTACTCAGGGCACACATTGCTCCGTCGCACTCTTATGGGGTGAATTACTAGATGCCAGGGCTAAAAAAAAAAAAAATAAAAAAAAAAAAAAAAATTTTACTCGCTAATGGCTAGTGGAAATTTTGAGCCCTGTAGTACACCATACACCAACATTCAGGAGGGAGTTTTTGCAATATTATTTTCAGATAAGGGATGTCGCTACCAGTAATCACATCTATACATTTCATGGTCTTCTTCACATGTAATTCGGTTGTAAAGCAGTAGTAAAACCAAGTCAGCATTAAGGGATAGTCTTTTCAATAAAATATTGATTTACTTAACACCATTTTGTTTTGTTGGGTTAGATGCGCTGTTTAATGAAGTAAATAATAATAAATAAAGTATTTAACCAAGAAAGGTACACTCAGATTACTCTGGTTTTCAAGTACATCTGTGCCAGGATTTGAACCTGCGAACCAAGGGTTCAACAGATTCTACTGATAATGCATTAGCCCACTGAGCTATCTCACCGGCCTTTGAGAAGTTTGTATTTGCATTTTTACCCCACATTTACAGACATCTGATCGCTTTACATTAGCACAAACCTTATGCTCACACATGTTTTACGGTACGTGAGAAAAGCATTATGGATCTCACATTTGAAAATAAATCAGTACTCCACCAGTGTGGCTGTTTAATGTGACAAATACAGGACACAGGTATTAAACATATCCTGCAGTTTCAGGGTCACAACTTAAATCTTTTGTGTAGCAGTTTTGGTGTGGAGACGGTCTGTATATTTACAGATCTGGCATACATTTTAAAATAAATAATTAAAGGGAATAATAAAGGGAAACTATAGTCACCAGAACAACTACAGCAACTACATATATTTGTTCTGGTGAGTAGTATCATTCCCTTCAGGCTTTTTGCAGTAAACACGGTTTTTAGAGAAAATGCAGTTTTTACATTTCAGCCTAGGGATAACTCCAGTGGCCACTCCTCAGATGGCTACTAGAGGTGCGTCATGTGGCAGTGCTGCACACTACGCAGTACTGCCATTCATTGTCTTTACTCTCTGCATGTCTCACACACACACATAAGTCGGTTGTGGTGTGCAGGAACCAACGCTACAGTAGGCCTGTAATAAAGAGGGCATACCATAGGGGTATATAATAGTAGATGTAGGTAGAGGGGGTGGAGGGAAGGGGCCTGCAAATCGCCAGCCTAGTAACGGTATGGGAATCACTTAAACACAACTACAGGCCCAGAGATAGAGTGAATATGTATGTATGTATGTACGTACATACATATACACACAGTTAAACATATATACATTTAAATATACACATATAGACAGTCCAACTCCTTTTACGCACCTCTGTGTGCACAGTGTGATTTAGGCCAAATCTTGGGGTCCATATCTGAGCACCCCTTTGTCCCTTCCAGACCTGCCATCAGCCCCAAGCGCAACCACTGCATTCAGCCATTCAGGGTCTCCTCCCTCTGCATGCAGACACTGAACTTTCCTCATAGAGATGCATTGATTCAATTCATCTCTATGAGAAGATGCTGACTGGCCATGGCTGTGTAACTTGTGCTGGCTCTGCCCCTGATCTGCCTCCTTGACAGTCTCAGACAATCATATGGGGAAGCATTGTGATTGGCTCATTCCACCACTTCTGATGTCAGCAGACAGGTAAGAAGCAGTAGATGCAGACTTGAATACAAGTAAGAATTTACTATAATTAGGGAGGCAAGAGGAAGCCAGGGGCGGCTAGATGATGGTTTTAACACTATATGTCAGGAATACTTGTTTTCCTGACACTATATACCACCCTTTGGACCCCTCCACCCTCAGGGTCCCCCTCCCTTGGCGCTGTAGAGGTTAAAACCCCTTCAGCCACTTACCTTTATCCAGCGGTGACCTCTCCTCCCACGCCGACGTCAGCTCCCGAGTGAAGCGGAATGCGCATGCGCGGCAAGAGCAGCGCGCGCATTCAAACAGTCCATAGGAAAGTATTTCTCAATGCTTTCCTATGGACGTACTGCACGCTGGATGCGAATTTTGCATCCAGTGTCGCAGAAGAGCCTCTAGCGACTGTCAGGAAGACAGCCACTAGAGGTTGGATTAACCCTGCAATGTAAACATAGCAGTTTCAGATTTACATCGGAAGGGTTAAAACCTGGGGGACTTGGCACCCTGACCACTTCATGGAGCTGAAGTGGTCTGGGTGACTATAGTGTCCCTTTAACTTTGGAACAATAATGTCAACTTTGAAATACACTACTTGTACTTACAAAAATCAGAATGCAGTCTTGCGTACATAATTATGATGATCAAAATAATGTTTTCTGATCTATGTCTACTGAAGAGGCTGAAGCTGAAAGAAGTACAACTGTGGAAACAGTCTGGAACCCCCCACTTGAATGTTTATTCATACAAAATGATGATGCTTTATGTTCTGTATATGTTATGAATGTGGTGCTGAATGGAAAGGGAGTGAGGAACTCCACCAACAAAGTAGGAGGTAAACTCGGCAATCACAAAGATCGACCGTAGATTACACGGCAGAAACATAGAATAAAATCTATTTCATACAAAGGAGGTTTGGCGTATTTCCCAGACACTGGACCGATTTAACAAGACATTACTTGTAACATATCTGGATTAGTATACAAGATCTACATGTTGTTCATCGAGGAACATTATAATACATAAACTAAAAAATAATTAGCAATTAAAATAAAACACAACAATCACTATAATGGAATTTTGCACAATCTTACATTTTCAGGAGCACCAACCACTAAGCACTAGACACAGTCAGAAAACATTCACCCCAATAAGGTTAATTTAAAAAATATAAAAACCAATACATAATTACCTTTTCATGCAGGTCACCATGTACAAGAGACGAGGAGTACAGATCATAGGCTGGTCTGTAAGGATCGCTCTCATAGCCTGCTTCACACAGTAATCTGGTTTCAAGGGTGGGAGGAAGGGCTCAATTTCTTTCCTGAAAGATAAAATGTTTCAGTGAGTTTTATTTACACATTCCAGCTCCACGTTTGCCCTGATACTTCATAACACGATAGAATAATGAGGTGCACCTGGATGGGTGCTGGGTTGGCTGCCCAAACGGCATTGTCTGGAGAAGCTCAGTGAAGACAGACATTTGGAAGAATATTAGCAGACCCCTTAAAAATACTTATTCCTCAGAGGGTTAGTGGGCACATGCAACAAAGCTTCCCAGCTTTAAAAAAAAAAAAAAAAAAAAATAATAATAAGGCAGCTTTTCCCTCATATCCATTCCAAAACAGCATATTACAGTATATTTGGCAGAGGAGGTGAATTTAAAAGTTTTAGACACAGATCAAAAAATATTTTCTTTTTAATTTAATGGATAAATAATAGGGAAAGCCGACCACAAAAAATCAAGAATGTTATGCTTTTATTTGTAGTTTTTTTTTTTTTTTTTAAACTCAACAGTAGAACATGCAATATAATACATTCTATGCATTTTAGGATTTGAAAGCATGAACCAGTGAAGACCAAACTAGAAGTGTGTTAAAAGTGCAAAGTAATCATCATTCCGTGTGGATACTAACCTGATTCTGCAGCCACGGAACATGCCAGTGTCAACCAGATAAGGACAAACCAATGTAGTTTTAATCCCATCTTTGTCTGCCGCTTTCAGTTCATGGCTGAGAGATTCATGGAAGCCCACAGCACCAAACTTGCTGGCACAGTAATCCTGTGGAAGGGGAAATAAATAAATGCATTGTGTATTAATATATCCCTTATAAGAAGGAATGAGCATGCAGGACAAATTTTGTATAGCTAGATACAAATCTACACAAGTAAATAAATGAACATGGAGGGACGGTCACATTCAAGACAAGTATCCCGAAAATATTAATTCACCAAGAACTATTACAATGACCAAATTTCCGTTAACTAGTTTATCAGCACCAATTAGTACATACCAGGACATAATGCTCATCACTTCCTTAGCAGGTCTTAGTAAATTCGTAAAATACGACCTCAGATGAACACCTCATGACATGACACCGTGTCATAGTTACATAGCTGAAAAGTTCAGCCTTCCTCACATTTGTTTTTTTGCTGTGGATTGTTTTAACAAAAATAAAGCCAAAATGAGGAAAATCCATGTGTGAAAAAGTACACCGCATAATTCAGAGCCACCTTTAGCAGTAATAACTTGAAGTCATTTCTTCCTGTATGACTTTATAAGGATCTCACATAGTTGTCACATCTTCAGTTCATTGAAGTTTGCTGGCATTTGTTGATTTAAAAAAAAAAAAAAAAAACCCCATCATGACAAGTGTAATATGTCATGTGTTGTTCATCTGAAGTTGTATTTACCCAACTTTAAGATTTAAAGACCTGCTAAGGAACAGATTATGTCCTGAAAGAGACAATTCCCAAATCCAGATGTTTTAGACAACATATCCCATGATGCACGGGTAAAAAAAAAATAAATATATATATATATAGTCCATAATAGCTGGCACACCTTATCCATAAGGACGCAACCCACAGCGGGTTGCTAGATTAGAACATTCTATATGGAAGGAAATGGAACAAACCTCAACTCCTGCGGTGCTGAACAATCCCAATGAGCTGGCAACAGTAACAATATGTCCATGATTCATTTCCATCATTTTGGGGAGGAATGCCTTTGTGGTCTAAGAGAGGAGAGAGAAAAAAAAAAAAAAAGAGAAAGGAGGAGATGTGGTTAATGAGGATTCTTTATTTGTGTTATCTAAGATTTCACAGGCAACTAAAGAGAGATTTAGCCCAAACAAATGCTATCATTATATTTCACATCCGCTTACCATATAACAACAGTATGTAAAACGATAATGCTAATCAATGCACTCCTTGGGGTTTCATTTAAACCCATTTTCTGGCAAATAAAACTGAGGGAGAAAAATAAATAAAATAAAATCTACTCTGCTTAATCCCTTCAATGTTATAGCAAAAATGTTAGGCATGCATGTTTCCAGATATGTTTAATCTGCATTGATCTGAAAATGGGCAGTCCTTGACGAGTGTTCCCGACAGGACTTTGTTTTTAGATTTGTACCATTTCGGAGTTTGGATTTAGTTCTAGTTTTGCTGATCTTGACTACATCTGAATTACTTCCAATAGAGAGAGCAGAGGATAATTAACACAAACTGGAACTAATGCCCGAAAACTACAAGCATGGAATGGGCGCAAAGTGAAGCATTAATAACTAAACACCATAAACAGCAGGCGTCTGGAGCCCTTAGGAGAACATTAGGTCAAGAGAGACATGGATGGATCTGGACCCAAAAAAGGGTTTTTTTTTTTTTTTTTTAAAAGAATGCCAGTTTATGAAATCAGCATTTCTTCTATACTGGTTGAGAATGATATTACACTAAAAGACTGTCATGTTCCTTATTGCATTAAGGTTTAGAATGGCAAAAAACAAAACACACAATACCTCCCCGCCCCTTAAACCCCCGTCCTAAAAATAAATAAATTATAAATAAAAAAAAAATAAAAAAAATAAAAATAAAAAAAAAAACACACAAAACACACAAACAGACTTAAAGAAACACTAAGCACCATAACTACCAAACCTTGCTATAGTAGTTATGGTGACAAGAGTGTCCTGGCACGTCCCCATTGTAAATTAGTCACTGGGTTGTTTTTTTTAAAACGCAGTTTGACTTACCTAGCCTCCACTATCTTGCGCCAGACGCCCTAAGTAGCAACGTCTGTTACCTCACCTGAACTAAGAGTGTTAGTCACTTTTACTCCCCAGTTATTACTTGTTTTGTAGTTAGAGAAAAGCTTCACCTGCAAGATCATATTGAGATTTGTTTACTGGGGCACTTTTCATTACAACACAGCTGTCTATTTCTGCAATGTAATGCAGTCATTATTAGAGTGATCAATAAAAAGGATTTATGTAAAAGATTCTACCCATCCATAGCAAACAGTCCCTATGATGTATAGAATCAAATCTATAGGAGGTTTTAAAACAAATAGACGAAATGCAAGTCCAACGGGTATTCTTATTTGAAATCTTTTAAAGACTTGGCTCCACTGGTTATATTTAAATGCAGTTCTCCTATAACGAAGCCAAGACAAACAGGTAGTTTTGAGATCTCCCGGCACTTTTAAAGGATTTCCAAGCAATTCTTTGATGCATACTTAATTTCTGGCTAACAAGATTATCACTGTGTCCCCTGAAATCAAATCTGCTGTAATTTCCAAACTCTTTTGGTGCCAACTGCTGAGCACAGAGAAATCATTGTAACGTAATCAACAAACTCCTGAGAACCATCTTGTGTTTGTTTAAGACCAAACAAAGTTCTGTGATTGCTATGTCCTTCCTTCCAACGCAGTATTGTTAAGACACTTGCCAGCTCAGAAACAAAACAAGAGAAGGAATAAAATTAAAATTTGTAGATATCTATCCACACACTTCTAAAACTTCATTAGAGAAAACCAAAAAACGCAACAGAGGAAAAAAAAAAAAAAAAAAAAAAACACAGGATTATCCACCAGATGTTGCTAGCTATAACCACTGCAGAATGTACCCGATTTCGACTGTGCATGAAGCAAAGGGGGGAGAAATAAAACATTTAATTATTCTCTACATGGTTTTTGTCTAACTTTTTCCACATGTTCTTTTGCGCAGCACTGGATTTGTTGTTTAACACCTGCAGGTTTGTCCTGCGAATGGAGGCTTAAGATAGACAGCTGGCAAAAGGCAGAATTCACAAAAGTCTGCCTTCCTACGCTCTATCCTTTATTCCAAGACAGTCTCATGAAGTGGGCATTATAACAAAACTATTAAAAATGAATTCAGTTAGTAAACCATCTGAAAATGGAGAATCGTGCTATAATATGTAAAACAGCCTGTACAGATAACACCTCCATCGCAAAGTATACATGCACACCTTAAAATGTCCAGGCTTACGAGATAGACATTTCACAGACAACACTGCAACGTTTTTTTTCTTCCTGTAAATAAGAATACTGCAATAATGCAGCCATACATTTTTGTAAGGTATTTCATGACAATAACTCCAAGGTATCACCTTCTTAAACACATGTACTGAAATACAAAAAAAAAAATTGTTTTATTGCCTGTAGAGGCCAATGTTGGTATATTGTTATAGATTTACCATGGACCAGGTCATATAGTCATCCATAACCTTGACCCTTAAATACAAACAAACCTAGAACCAAGCCAAAGGCATTTCTTTGACAGAGTCCAGAGATAAATGTACAGACAGTATGGGGTGGGGTGAAATAAAATAACTTTAATTAAAAGTATATTTAGTAGGTTAAGAAGAAAAGCCTCCCACACTTCGACTTAAAGCAAAGATAATTGCAGCACACTTAATCTTTGTGCGTACAGATCGGTAGGTGTGCAGGAAGAGACAAATTCTCACTTGACTTGTATACTTGTAATCCCCAGTGCTTGTCACTACCCTTACATGCACACACCAGTAATTAATTACTTATTAGACACAAAAGTGTGAAACTAAACAAGCGTTTACATGTCACTTCATAGCTTTAGTAATTGGTTCTCAACGTTTTTGTTTATGGCAAATTAACTTCTAACAGTATACCACTTCTTCCCACCCCTTCCCCAAATTCTTTAGCGCTTTTCTCTTGGTGTTTTTAATGAAACAAAACAGAGGAAAGGTTTAGTCGCACAAAAGGCTGCCACAGCTGTGGTGTCAAGACAAATTAGGCAAAAAATAAAAGCAAATGGAGAAACTGGGAAATAATGTTCTGTGAGCAATGGGCAGTTTCTTAATTAAATTCTAAGAAGACGAGGTCTAAAAAAAATAATTTAAAAAAAAATAAAAAAATTAAAAAAAAAATTGTACAAGCTGTGGATGTTTTTACAAATTAACCCTCTGACTATAAGAAAGGTAAGGGTACGGCATCTGGTAGAGAATAAGTTGAAGGTGTGTGTATATGGGAACAACGAAGCATAAGCATGTTTTCCTTATGTAGAGGGTTTTTTTTCCTGCACAATAGACTAGTTAATGGAACTCACATGCTAACAGAACAGGTTCTTGAAGCAGAAAGTAGAATATCCTGTTTTGGCAGAAATAAATAAATCAGGCTCTTTGATCAATTGGTGTGTAGGCTGTACATGTAATGACATACAGTCATGAGAATAACTATATAGAGTTGTTTAAATGTTTTTTTAAATTTTTTTTTAAACAAAAAAAGAACCGATCTTTAAATTTACAGACAGAGTTTACAGGCAAACTTTGAAATAATTCACTGCTCATAATATCCCTTGAAAAAAAAATAAAAATAATAATTTCTCCAATACCCAAGTTTTTATCTAGAACTAGATTAGTACCACAACAGGTGAGCTTAAACTAGATACATTATCAGAGGCAGCTAAAGTTTGCGCAAAATAACTGAATAGTAGATAGTATATATAGAGTACCACCTGAGCAATTATTTATGATAATAAACAGATTTGATTAAACAAATCGTGTGTTCTTGCCAAGGAATGAGTAATACATTCAATGTTTAACAACTGCTTGTTTGTGACACTGTCTTTTATGACAGAAGACAGAAATTATTTAATGCATCAGGGATGCGCACAACGTATTTGCCAGAAATTGATTAAAATCATCAGCGAGGCCATAAGTTTGTATCACTTCCTATTTAGAAAGCAACCTAATTTTACATATCTAGAACATAGATCCAAAAAAAACACACACACCACACACACTCCTTCATCATCTTTAAGCGATAATCAGCCTGCCACAGATATTTCAGATGTCAGTGAGGGCCAAACATACCAAGATTTCAGGTAAAAAACAAAAACACAATGTAATATGGCCTGTGAAGTTATTGAAGGCAACCTTGTCCCCTCAATGTCAAATAGTCAACCCATTTTAGAAAAAGTTTGACTTCTTAAAGGGACACTATAGCCACCAGAACAACTTACATTTAGTGTCTCTACCCTCTGCATTGAGACACTGAACTTTCCTAACAGATATGACACGCTCAGCCAACCCAATGCTTTTCTATGGGAAAGCATTGTGATTGGCGGAGATCACTTCTGACGTCAGCCAAGAAGGCAGATCAGGGGCAGAACCAGCATCAGCAGACTGAAATAAAGGCATGAATTTACTATTTTAGCTAATCTTTGCGAGACAATTTTCCCTCCTTACTGGAGAACCAGACCAGGGTACTCCTGGCATCATAACCACTAAAGCATGCTGTAATGGTTATGATGATGATGAGAGTAACCTTTAAGTCAGTCATTCTGAATGTTTTGGGTTGTGTTTTTCTTCCCAGGAAGCAATAAACATGCACAGCTATTACATGATCTGCCTGTTATTTTGACAAGCAGATCATGGTTTTAGATTGTTAAATGCACAGGAGGTGATATCTATGGTTTACTTTCAGTAATACACAATGCATGGTTCCCAAGACAAACAACCAAACAAAAACCCCACACAATTTCACAGAGAAAGATAAAGGTGCATAACAGTATGGGAAAACATTGCCATTCTGGAGACCTTTATAAACTCCTTGATTGCCATGATCCAGAATCTCTCAATAGCATTATTTTTACATAATTTTTGTTTCAACACCCATTATGCATCAAATTAAACATAGCCGATGTGAAGAGGTGCTTATTTATCCTTACTAAGCTTTCTGGGTATGACCACTGCTCGTTTGTGTTGCATTTCCTCCTAGAAAGGATGGCCTAAAGGAAAGGCCCATAAACTTTTGTCCACATTCCTTACAGGCTTGTCAAGACAGTATGGGATCAAGAGGTCCAATACCATTTCCAAGATAAGGCAAGGACCTGCTGCCACTTGTGAGAACAATTGAGATGGACTACTACTTGAATAGTTAGCAATGTAGTTAATTTTTTTTTAAGATATAAGTTCTTAGTCTACAAAAGGAACCTATTAAATAAAAATACCTATTAAAAAAAACAAAACTGAATAAACATGATTTGAGATTAAGAAATATTGGTACAACTTTATACAGCTATGTCAGAAAGAGAAACATAAGCAAACAAACTGGACTATTTTCCTAAAGAGAGATATTTGGAGGTAAAAAAAAAACCAAAAAACAACCTAGCACTCCAACAATCAGCGCTCTCAAATCCTCCTACCCCCTGTTAAATAAAAAATAAATAAATAATAATAAAAAAAAAAAAAAAAAAGTTTAGACTGTTGATACTACACAGCAATAACAAACCTAAAAAAAAAAAAAAAAAAAATACATAATTTCTAATAGTCCATGAATAAATTTCAATCAGATATTGATATATAATGTTAGCTGACAATTAAACAAGTGGTAAATGAACACTAACAATCACATTTTTCAAGGTGTCTATCACTGTCTAGAACTTGCCATACCCCAGCTGCTGGAAATAAAATCTGGTTTCATGAAATCCGTTTGTTACCAGTGAAATTGGCTGCATCCATCCTGCAGATGGCTTTCGTCATAGGAGGTGCTACATGACATTGGGAGATGCTTGTAGACATCTGTTCTTTGCCCAGTGGAGCAAGTTCATTATATTTCACAAATTTACGTCAATTTCCTCTCATTTGGGATATAAAATCCTTAAAGACCAATGTTAAAGTGACATATGGTTTGTGGTTATAGGACAAACGCTGAGGAAATGATCAATTATACACCAGTGACTCACACTTCCAAAACAAGCACTGCCAAAATGTTGCCCCTTTTTATATGGAAATGCAAGACTGAAGGGGAAAACACAACACTAAAAATAAATAAAAAAAATAAAAAAAAAAATAAAATAAAAAAAGTACATTTTGTGGGATTTAAAAGTTATTTAGAAAAATTACAAGTTATGAATAACTTGTAAAATAGATTTGTGGTCTTTTTCTCCCCACTTTAAAAACCTTTACAAGCCAGCCATGAAGTGATTTAAATTCAGGTCACTAAGTTGTGTGTCAACAGGTGCATGTTATGATTTTTACATCTTAAACTCTGTTAAAATTGAAAGATGGGATAAGCAAGCAGAATATTTGTTAAAGTTTTTGAGCTTTATGGGGATCACATAGGTTGAGGAGATAAGACTTCATTTAGTTACACGTTCACAATCTGGAGTTTTATTTGAGTAAACGTTTTGTTATAAATAATGATAGCAACTCACAGAACATTATCTACAGCAAGTCACTGCCACTCTCTGTAAGTCATGTAATTGTTGCCTGTACGTATAACATTTTTCTAGGCCTTTGTCTGAAAATGGAAGAAGCGAAAGACATTTAGCTGAAATTGATCAGAGGATATTTGAATTTTGATATAATTTGAGCACATTTGCCTACTTGTTTTCACTCATACAGATGATGTTTGGCAACATGCCATCCATTTGATCTTTAATAATGGATTTATTAGTCCTGTGATTTCGAGGAGCGGTTCTCTTAATGGGCATAGATATAAAAAGGAGGTTACATTGTATTTATGACAAGTGCACCTGCATTACCGGATAGGGTTTGTAATCCATTTGATGTGGTTGCCAAATTGATGGAATAAGCATATATCAAACGCTAATCTTATACATTTTACCTGCTGTGTCTTCACTTCTATGCAATAGGACCAGTACAGCACACATGGGCTGTGGTACGTGCAGCCACCACATCCCTCTCCAAGCAACCATTTATATTGCACAAACATATTCTACAGAAATGTAGAATAGGTGGAACATAAGTAATTGCAAGAAGACAATTTTAACACAAAAAGAATCAAAAGGTCGTGACAGGCTCAAAAAGAGGTTATGATCGAAAGGGATTGGGGTAGAAGGACATAAAAGGAAGTGTTAAAATGTAGCCAACCATACATTAATTGATAGCTAGGACAAGACGAACAGTTTAAATAAACAAGTGACTTGTTGTTAAAGTGAAAATAAAGGAAGAAGCACACAAACCTACACTCTTTCTCTGTGATAGAGGTAATGACATGGCTGTGATTTGTCAGTCAATCCTGGGCATATTACAAGAAACTGCAGCACTGCTTGTAAAGGTTTGAATAGTGTTACTTTTCTGGAATTAACCATTAGCAACCCTGCATGTAGAGAGTGCCAGCTGTATGGCTTGCAACATATATGGAGGCATTCCTCTGATCTGCACAATGGGATGTTGGGCTTAAAACCAACGGTTTTGCCGTGCCACAACAACTAGACTAAAGTATAACTTTCTCACTCAAAGGACAATGGGAAGCAATTGTATTTACATTTTTTATTTTGGAAAATCTATGACTCCATAAAAATCCCTGTTTGGTTTCCTTTAAGAAGTGTTCTTCCCCTCCCCCCCCTTACCCTTTTGTAGTTTTCAAGTTATTGTTGGGCTTGTTGCCAAATCTAGTACTAGAAGCTTTGCTCACATGAAAAGTAATTCAGCCAACAGCCTCTGACATCTTCCAAGAAAGGCACATCACGTGTTCCCCAATACCCCCAGAGTTCCCCACATAATTCATTAACAAGCAAAAAGGCAGAGGAAGGCAAAAACATTCTTCCAAATACTCAAAATACTTTGACTACAAGAATATACACTGTTGAGTGTTTAAAATAAAAGAACAGTCAGACTTCCTCAAGACTCCAAATTCTAAACAGTTTTACAAGAGCCGATATTTAGCCAACCCTTTCAGCACTAGGCAGGGAAGCTATACATCCATGCAGTCTAAAAGGGACACAATCCATGACCTTACTTGGGTTCACAGATTAAGATTTGAATTGTGAGTTCTCCTTTGGTTTCCTCTTACTTACATTTTGCAGTAAATGCTAGATAAATCTGATAACCCCAACATTTAAATAAAATATTGAGGGATGGTGAACATGCGTTTAATACTTTTACACTGAGTATCAACTCTGGATCTCTAGGGCGGATGTTGCCAATCTTTTCTGGATCAAGGGTCACTTAAATAAAAAAAAGACAGTAAGCAATGTGCACCTATTTTTTATTTTACCTTCATCGTCAGCTTATAAATGACACACTTACTTGACAGATATGCATATTTAAGGCCAAAATTATCTTACCAGTTTTTATTAAATAGCCAGAAATAGTCAGCATTCAGATTGGGTTTTTAAAGGATTGCATTCAGACCACAACATTGAAGTCAGTGTTTTTGTGGTATACTTTGAGATGGCGTTAAGTATTTTAGTTGAAAACCACTGTTCTAGATTATTAGGGACCATTTAGAATAACGGTATTCCATTATAGGATAAGAGCCCAGATCTGATCCACTAGTGGATTTGGCTTCAAGCCAGCCAGCGAAGTTACACAGCACGTGGACTTAAAAGACTGAACGCCCACCCATGAAACTGACAGCTTGGTCATAATTTCATTTGAATATATTTTCTTAAACAGAGGCAAAAAGGTACACACAATAGGGAGCATACATTTTCGTGAAAACTATGGAAGCAATGCCTGCACAAACACAAAGTTTGTATTTTAGTCCAATGTGCAGAGATTTTGTTTAAAGGACCACTCTAGGCACCCAGACCACTTCAGCTTAATGAAGTGGTCTGGGTGCCAGGTCCCTCTAGGATTAAACCCTTTTTTTTATAAACATAGCAGTTTCATAGAAACTGCTATGTTTATAAATGGGTTAATCCAGCCTCTAGTGGATGTCTCATTGACAGCCGCTAGAGGCATTTGCGTGCTTCTCACTGTGAAAAAGCTTTCCTAGGAGACCGGCTGAATGCGCGCGCACAGCTCCTGCCGCGCATTCAGCCGGAGAGCTCCCCGCCCGGTGCTGGAAAAAAGGTAAGTTTAACCCCTTTCCTCGCCATCCAGCCTGGCGGGAGGGGGTCCCTGAGGGTGGGGGCACTCTCAGGGCACTATAGTGCCAGGAAACCGAGTATGTTTTCCTGGCACTATAGTGGTCCTTTAAGGAGATGAAAGGTCGTATAACCAATGCTAGCTTATAATACAGTAAAAAGTTCTACACCTGCTTGTTGATCCCAACAACCAAGGCTTCAGCAGTTTCTAAGATCTGGGACCAGAGCCAGATAACATGGTGCAGCATGTTAGCAAGGGAAGACTAGCAAAAATTTGAGAAAGTGTGAAAAAACAAACAAAAAAAAAAAACAAACAAACAAACCACAACAGAAAACAGTTTCTGGCATGGTGCATTGACAGCTTCTTAACCATGTATGCACCTTGTACAGGAACACATTGAGCAAGTGTCCTTTACTCTATTCATTATACTGTAGCTTCATGCACTCCCCCAAAAAGGAAATATGAGATCACTATGAAAGCTTACTTTCCCCCAATCCATGCAACACTTTGTAAAAGAGTGCAATAAACAGACTTCTGTAGTTCACTTATTGTTGGGGAGAAGGAAAAAAAAAAAAAAAAAAATTATATGTAACACGCAAATTCACGTCTAAACAAATTAAAAGTATATCTAAACTTTCCATCATGATCCTGATGAACGTTTGGGGGACAAACTGAAACATTGATCTTTTTAATGTGAGCAATAAATGCTAAGTTTTATTGGATTAAGACAACCTTGGAGTGCTGTCTTACACTGGAGTTTTGTTTTGATAAGCACCAGGCATTGAATGATAGAGAAAATATAATATAATATATATATTCCACAAAAAATATTAGGAAACAACTCCATCCTGGAATACCCCCTTTGCAACAAAAAAAAAAAAAAAAACCTGTGTATTAAAGCCCTGACTTAAAAAGCCCATATATATTCCCAGTTCAACACCATATATAGATACATATAAGAAGTTCTTATATGTATCTATATATGGTGTTGAACTGGGAATATATATGGGCTTTTTAAGTCAGGGCTTTAATGCACAGGGTCCCATGGTCACTTTAGGCACCCAGACCACTTCAGCTCATTGAAGTTGTCTTTGTGCAGTGTCCCAGGCTTCTTAATCCTACAATTGTAATTACTGCAGTTTGAGAAACTGCAAAAATTACCTTGTAGGTTTAACCCCACCTCTAGTGGTGGTCTACCAGTGGTTGAGTGGGTGGTTAGGCGACTTCTGGTTGCCTTACGGACAATGGATGTCCTTATGCTCTGCATGAGGACATTCAGCCTCAACCAAAACCCCATAGGAAAGCAATGCCTTCCTGTAGGGCAAGTCCTAACACGTATGCACAGTGCTCGCCACGTATGCGCATTCAGTCCCCCCACCGGCTGAAGGCAGTGGAGGAGGAGCCTGAACCAACAATCCAGGAGGCATAGTGTCCCTTTAAAAAGAATGTGCAATAAGGAAGTGTAAACATTAGATGTCTCTTTACAGGAAGTGTTTAGGATGGGTGTGACTAGGGTTGCATGAACAAAGTTATTAAACTCCTAAATGCCAGAGATTCTAGAAGTGAGACTGCAGCTGCAGGATCTATACATCACAACTGCTTCATTAAGCTAAAAGGTGTTATGAAATATGCACGACTGGTGCCTGCTGAACAAAGTCACAAAAGTATACAAAGTAATCACAGGTCTCCAATGAGAGTATGCAGAAAAACTGAAAAGATTTTAAAGCCACAATAACCATTTCACTTTACTGAAATGGTTATAGCACAAGTCATCTGCACAGCCGTTCCATTGGCATTAAACCTTTCTCAAGCAGTCTAACACTAAATAAATAATAGTGTTTGGTTATCCACAGCCCGACCCATAGTGAAGGCATAGTTAAGGCAGTAATTACACACTTCATTCTAGCCATACCCACAATGGGTGCTGTAATTGGCCGAGAGGGTCAGCTGACAGCCTATCACATCTGCCCACTGCTTCATCATTATGGGTACTTTTGTTTAGCTTCAAAGCTCATGCTGTGTCAAGGCACTCATGTTTTTAGTGACAACGCTTGGGACTGCCCATTATAACCACTTTAATGAGATAAGGCAGTTGCATTGTAAACGGTATTCCTTTAAAGTTCAGAATATTTAAGAATGGGCTCGCAAGTGTAGGAAGTACCAGATTGTTTTACTGTTAATATACAGCTGGCATGTTACACGTTCGCCCCCCATAATAATAATAAACACAACCACACACACACACACACACAACACATTACTACTTTGTACTTACTTTGTGTATAAAGCTCTCCCTTCTTATCTCAAATGTGATAGATAAAACTAACAAGTCCTTATCACATTTCCCTTGTGGTAAACAATAAAACACCAGTCTTAATCCCCACAGAGAACCATCTCAAGAATAAAAGTATTTAAAAAGGACTGTCAAAGCACAGCATAACAAGATGACCTATTAATTGTTGATCTACAGTAGGTATTTAAAAAAAAAAACAAAAACAAAAAAAAACCCCCAACAACAAACACCCCCAACAAGTTAAAAGGAACAATAAAGCGTCAGAAATACAAAACATGTATTCCTGACACTGGAATTCTAAAAGAACACATTATAGGTCCCCCTACTAAAATGTTATTTTACTCACCTTTATTCCAGCACCGCGCCAGTCTCGTTGTGTCTGGCTCCGCCTCCTTGGCTGAGAACAACAAGTTTGATGATATCAGCCAATCCGAAAACTACTGCACAATCAGCATCTGAATCAATGCATCTATATTGGGAGCGTCCAGCGGCTCCACGCTCTGCATGGAGACACTGAACGTCAGGCTGCACACTCTACTGCACTGAGCCAGGAAGCACCTCTAGTGGCCATCTGAGTGACTGCGACTAGAGGCGTTCCTAGGCAGTATGGTAAACACGGATTTTTCCTCTGAAAAGGTAGTGTTTACATTGAAAAACCTGCAGGGACAGGCTGTATACACCAGAACAACTACAGTTAACGGTTTATTATTCTGGTGAATATATATAACCTTTGAAAAGAAAACATACAAAATTATATGCAACTCGGTTATCAATAAATTTTAAAAATAAAGTATTTAGTTGATTGCAAGTGTATTCTCAAACTACGACTTTGTTATACCTTATTTATAAAGCGCCAACGCACTGAATATACTATCATTTGTGAAAATATTTTAATGTGGACTTAAAGTAAGATTATGAAATACATTGCTTTTAGATGAAGGAAAAAAAATTAAAATCATGAGTTAAAAATGAAGATACCGCTACACCAATAATGAAGACTGACAGAATCACATATTTGAAATGCTCAGATTTCTTTCTCACCTAGCTTGGGGAGGAGGGGACAAATGTATCTACTACAGCTTACTTTCTGTAATATTCAACAAGTGCCTCCTAATTGGTAAGTACTGCTCTACAAAATAATGTTAGATATACAGTATTACCGTAGGTCAAGGCATGGGGAACATATAAAAAATAACTAGGGTTTCAGATTCAGGCAGCCTGAATGTTACTTTTATAGTAATGTTTAAAGGAAAAATACAAAAAGAAAAGTAATCTGAAAAATAATGAGCACAGTAACTTACCCAAAAGTGAGCATGGCAATTGACCATCATAGTCCTTTCAATCAACTCATCAGGGCATTCAAGCAGATGGTGTCCCGAAACGACTCCTGCATTATTCAGCAGCAGAAAGACATCTCCCACTTCCCTGCGGACTTTTTCAGCAGTGGAATACACTTTTTCTCGCTTGCCTACGTCACAGGTGTACGTATAGACCTGTAGGTTGCAGCATGGGGGTACCTCTTCTTCCACAGAATTACTGGTTGCTTAGGGATATAAGAAAAGAATAGAATAAATAAATACAATGTCCAGATGTGAATAAGCTAATAAGACGTGCACACAAAGAAAGAGACAATGTCATTAAAAAAAAAAACAAAAAAAAAAATGTATGGTGGAAAATTCAAATTTAAGAATAGTGTTGTCCTCTTGGTTTGTTTCTTTAAGTACCCTATGCTTCCCATCACTGGGTAAACTGTAATTCTACAGAAGGGCTTTCAGGTTCAAATATTTAAATAGACAATTTGTGCAACATCACACAGGACAATACCCAAAATCAATAGAAGTAGTACTTTGCTCAGAAAGAAAATAAGGGCAAGGTAGAGCCAAACAATTTAAAACGCTCTGATGCAGACAGACAGAAGTCTGAATGAACTTATTGCAAATCAAACATGTTAAAACACATAATACATACACCATTTAAACAAAAATGAGCATGCTTCATAGCAGTATATTAGAAACTGTTTAAATGGTTATATAATGCAAATGGTAGGTGAAAAGGAAAGTCACCTAAATTGGTACTGTACAAGTGTGTTTTGTCTCCCATAGTCCTTTACTGTATGAATGAACTAAGTTTTTTTTGCATTACAAACATCTGTTAAAATCAGCATACAAATGATGCAACACGTTTTTAATCTGGCAATATTAGTTAGCTCAACTGATTGTTGAGACAGTAATCAAGCTGCATGGTCTTTGGTCCTCAAGCCTACCACTAATTATTATAATAAGAATCAGAGCCTGTAGCAGTCGTAGGCTTTATAGCCACTCATAAAGTTAGTCATTTATTGGTGCCAAGACCTGTGGCATAAAATAACATTAAAATTTACTTTTTGAGCAATGGGACAGTCACTTAATACATTAGACTACAGTGAGATCAAATAAAAAGGTATAGGGGGTTAAGTATAAAGAGCAAGTCTGGGCCAAAGTTCTGAAGCTGGAGTGGTCACTATGGAAACAAAATGAATGTGTCTGCTGATCGCTCCATATTTAGAACGTTGACATAACTTACTCTGGATCTTTATAACTAAGTTCCAAAACTTATCATGAAACAATCTGAATATTTTACATTAACCCAAGAATGGCTAGAAGCATTTTGGCCAACCCCTGCATTAATTAGTCCTTTCTACATTTAAGCAGGACCCCAATGAGTGTCTCCTGTGGCAATGGGTAAACTGCAACTCCCATTACTACGAGGTGACATGAAGGTATAGCTCCCAGTACTTTTAACGGATCGATCACTCACCCCGCAGGGCGTCCTCTGCCTCTAGCTGTCGGTAGATTTCTCGCACCATGTCCGCGGTCTCCTCATTGCTCTGGCTATTGATGTCCCATAGTACCAGCTGTGCCCGGCGCCTGGCAAACTCCAGCGCAAAGAGGCGACCTAGTCCACTGCCGGCCCCTGTGATCAGGCACACCTGGCCGGCCACACTCTTCTCTTTGGGACGAACCAGCCACTTAGCCGCTGCCAGCACGAAGGCCCACAGCACCTTGAACGTGACAACGAAGAACTCCAGCACTATATTCATTGTATAGGGTCACCGGCCAGGACTGGGGGCAATGGCTGATTGAGCTCGGATAGTTCACACACTATTTCCCAGGATGGGCACGATAAGTCGGGGCAGAGTGTGAGGGGGCACTCAGTATATCCAAACCTTGGCAGGATAAATCAGTGCAGTCTGAATGGGCACTCAGTATATCTATGGCTGGGCACGGTAAGTGGGCACTCAGTATATCCCGGTCTGGGCACGGTAAGTCAGTGGGCACTCAGTAGATCCCAGGCTGGGCACGGTAAGTCAGTGGGCACTCAGTATATCCCCGGCTGGGAACGGTAAGTGGGCACTCAGTATATCCCGGTGTGGGCACGGTAAGTCAGTGGGCACTCAGTATATCCCGGTGTGGGCACGGTAAGTCAGTGGGCACTCAGTATATCCCAAATTAGTCCAGGTGTCCGGCGCTGCTGTCCATATCCTGTAATTCCCGGGGCGGCCGCTCAGGGGCAGTCAGGTCTCCTGGGTCCGAGTTGTGCTGTTCTCCGCTGTGAGTAGTCCCGGGGAGCCGAGTCTGCGCTGCACTCACTGTTGCTGTCCGGCTGCTGACTCTGTGCTAGCTCCGTGCTGCTGAACTGGGGGCCCGGACACTGCATGGCGTGCCCCCGGCAGTACTCTATATACCCGGGGACCGGCCGGGAGGGATCGCTCGCCCCGCCCGGTGCAGTCCGGACACACTCAGTACACACACACAGGGGGAGGAAGGAGGAGCGCACATCACATGGCACAGAGAGGGAGGGACACTCACACTCAGCTAGCGGCACTTTCACTGCTTCTACTCAGTGCATCACATGCAGAACTCATTGCTATCAGCACTCACCACAGTAAGACCACCGTCTCAAAGCTCAGATTATCTACACTCACTGTATCACATTAAGGGCTCACTATACCAGGACTCAGACATATATTTACTATATTACATTAAGGGCTCACTATACCAGGACTCAGACATATATTTACTATATTACATCAAGGGCTCACTATACCAGGACTCAGACATATATTTACTATATTACATTAAGGGCTCACTATACCAGGACTCAGACATATATTTACTATATTACATCAATGGCTCACTATACCAGGACTCAGACATATATTTACTATAGTACATCAATGGCTCACTATACCAGGACTCAGACATATATTTACTATATTACATCAAGGGCTCACTATACCAGGACTCACATATTTACTATATTACACCAAGGGCTCACTATACCAGGACTCACATATTTACTATATTACATTAAGGGCTCACTATACCAGGACTCGCATATATTTACTATATTACATCAAGGGCTCACTATACCAGGACTCAGACATATATTTTCTATATTAGATCAAGGGCTCACTATACCAGGACTCAGACATATATTTACTATATTACATTAAGGGCTCACTATTTCAGGGCTCATGACATATTTACTATATTACATCAAGGGCTCACTATACCAGGGTTCACATACTATAATATATTAAGAGCTCATTATAACAGGGCATGGACACATTCACTATATCAGATCAAGGGCTCACTATACCAGGACTCAGACATATATTTACTATATTACATCAAGATCTCACTATACTAGGGTTCACATACTATAATATATTAAGAGTTCATTATACCAGGACTCAGACATATTCACTATATCAGATTAAGTGTTCACTATACCAGGACCAAGACATATACCAGTATTGCTATATCAGATAAAGGGCTCACTATACCTGGACTCAGACACATTCACTATAATATATTAAGAGCTCATAATACCAGGACTCCGACATATAATGTTATATCAGATTAGGGGCTCACTATACCAGAGTTCACCTTCTATAATATATTAAGAGCTCTTTATAGCAGGGCTCAGACACATTCACTATATCAGATCATGGGCTCACTATTCCAGGACTCAGACATATATTTACTATATTACATCAAGGGCTCACTATACTAGGGTTCACATACTATAATATATTAAGAGCTCATTATAACAGGACTCAGACATATAATGCTATATCAGATTAAGGGCTCACTATATCAGGATGGCAAATTGTGAGTACACATAAATCTGCATAGAGAACTACCATTTCTCAAATGTGTACAGTAATGTTGGCACTTAGCAATTAGTGAAACATGTCTGGAAAGGGTTTGAGAGTTACACTGGAGTCTTTTGAAAGGTACACAATATTCTCCAAGAACATATCTTGGTAAGAAACTTAGCATGGTAGAAGGTAGTAAAAAAAAACCAAAAAAAAAAAACCTCTCGTTAAAAGTGAATTTTAGTGAAGATAAAAAGCTGCATGCTTAGATTCACTAAATGGAGTGAAGAGAGAGAGAGTATTTATTACTGTAAAAAGTATATAATGGGAAAATAATGACATCATAGTTATTCGGTCAAATAATTTATGAATGCCCTCCAGAACCTTGTTATTTCACAGAGGTAATAGGCAACAAAAAAATCAGATGTATAAAATAACAAAAGTAAAAACAATTTCAAACTCTACGTGTTTTGTCTGTTGTGTCAGATTTCATCAGGAGTAAAAAAAAAAAAAACAAGTAATATTCATATAAAGTGCTTCAAAACTTCTGAGAACTAAAGCTGTATTTAAAAGTCCCTCCCGCCGGCATTTCAAATATTAGATTCCAAGAAATAAAACCCCCACTAATCTCAGGCAGGCCAGTAAATGTATGTCCCAGTGCTGTACAATGTTATTGCAATATCATGATTTTTAATGTCAAGTTTTAAACCCAACATACTGCACAGCATTGAAATAATATCTTATATATAAAATCATATTTACTGAACAGGTAAAACGTGATTTCAGAGCGTATACTGTATAATAGGTAAGGCCTCTATCAGTGTCCCTCACTCCGCATTATGCTCGTGTTGTGTAACAAGGCTCATAGAGGGGCTGTGTATGAAGAGCAATTTGGGGAGAAATTTTAAAAGTGACAATCATGGAAATGGATCTGGTGTTATATAATTGCCATAGAACTGACGTTCATACATCAATTAGAGTGTGTTTTGTAACAAGCCATACCGAAAATTTATATTGTGTAACAGAATGCTTAGCATTTAAGTGTTGTATAACAAAAGTCACAATGTATTTTCAAATATATATTATAAATACACACAAACTTGTATTGTGTCAGTCATGTGCGTATCTGTATCGTCTACGAAATAAATAATGCGTTCAGACGTAACATCTAAGATTGAGAATACATCATGTGCCCTACAGGGCTTGCAATTATTGGCCAAGTTCTGTTTCAGAGGGGTATGTTCACTTTTTATGTTCACGTCAGGACACCTATATGTTAACTAGCCCCACCTTGCAGAGATCACACAATGAAGAGTTGGCTGTCTTATTAATCACAGTGATGAAATAAATAGGTAGCATGGTTCACTGAATACTATAAAATTACAAGTCTGCTGTTTTTTTATTGTATGTTTAAATACAGAACAGTATTTAATTGAAATCTGAATGGCACATTTTAGGACAAAATAGCGAAGATAGGACAATATTGGAGTCTGGAAATCTTTCCAAACCAGCAATTGTTACTGAAGATTTTAAAATGTAGTCCTCAATTCACTTAAATTTGGTGTTAAGTGAATAAGCCCCTTAAGAAACCAGATTGTTATGATGACAAAGTGTAACATTTGCATCCATAAGGGTTAACTAAAAATGGCTTATTATAGTCAAAATGTTGGTTAGGCAAATAAATATTCTCAACATCTGAAATTAATGTAGAATGGAGAGGCCAGACAACTGTGCAAAATATATCTAGGCGTTAGCAATCAATGTTTGATAAGCAATGACTTGAACAATATAAGACAAAATAGGTTAACAATATAATAGTGAATAAACCCATCAGAATGGGTAAAAATGTCTCATTCATTCAGAGTAGAGAAGAAGGAGTTTTGGCCATAGCTGCAGTGTACCTTGTATTTCTATACTCTATTATTATGCTAGGATGATGCACACACCAATCTCACTTGGCTTTCATTACTCCATTAAGTGGTGTGCATCTATCATTCTGCATATTTAAAGTTGAGCGGGTGCAGCAGGAAATCAATTTTTATACCAAAATGTTCTATAAAACCATAACAGAGCACGATAAATATGTGTAATATAACTTGGAATAACACTGTTTATTGACTCTTTAAATACAGCTACATGGCACGCTGCTCTTAAGGGTCTAAAACATAAGGCATAGGTGTAAAATGTATATTATAAAAAACAAAGGACATTTAACAGGACAGCTTGATACTGGAGGGGTATGTGGAAATTGGCATTGTCTATGAGAGTGGTTCATGACCACTGGGCTGGGACACAATATTGGGCTTCAGTATATCTGCAATGGTTGAACTACCGGCACACCATATGTTTCAGGCCTCAGATCAGTACCCAGTAAATGTAACATCACTACATTCCCCAGTGCAAAGGAGACCTCTCTAACACAGGAAAACAACTAATAAAGGTGTTTTGAAGAACATATTGTTATATATTATGTTACAGATGAAGAATGGATAACTGAGCTAATATTAAAATTGGAAAATGTTTCACCAAGCAGTCCTAGTACAACATTGAAACTGTAGTGGTTATGGTGCAAACATTATTTTGGGTCTATTACTCTGATTTGTGTCAAATATCCAAAGGGGTTTGACAAAAATCTTGATGGTGTGGTTTCTGCCTATGTTTTCCAGGGCAGTATAGCTTTGATGACCAAGACTGTTATTTGATGTATATCTTTAATGTACCATAGTTTTCCTAAGCCCTTCGAAGGCCCCTGCAGGGACATGGATGTCCCGAGCGCGCAGCCCAAGTACTGTCAGCGACCTTAAGCCAGATGCACACATACTTGTGTCGGTGAGGTGATCTTCTGACGAGGTTGCAGCAAGATCATTATCTACAGAAGAAAGCTTTGAACATTTAGCCTGCCGGAACACATTCCCCCTCTACATTTTTTACCTATCATCAGAAAATCCTCCAGCTCCTTTAATTCTTCACATAAAGAGGATATTCCAATTGGTGAGATCCACCCATACATAGAAATTCATACAGTGCACTATTGTTTGGACTGTTCTATACAAGGACTTTATTTTTCATTTTTTACTTTTTTGTCTTATTCTTCCCTTTTTTGCCTCTTTTATATATATTTTTCATTTTTTCCCCCCAAAAAATGTTCTTTGTCTTTTTTTCTTTTTCTTTGTATACAGGCAGCAGCAGGTTGTATCATATTGGATACTCCGCTCTGACACTACCAGTGGGATCATTACCAGCTGTATATATATCCATATAATGAATTTAAATAATATTTATGGAGGTTTTTGTAATTATTTGTAAATAGCTATTGTACATAGGATGAAATGCATGTAACTCTATATACAATGAAATTTATCTTCTATATTTTTGTAATCATCAATAGATTCGAAAGTAAGTTAAGGAAATAATAAATTAATCACATTACCATTTACGTTTACCATTGATTTTTTGTCATATATATGACCAGAGTGCGGTATTCATATTTATTTGTTGTTTAATATTATGAGGCTTTATTAGGGTTAACCTCGAATACCCGCACCTAAGACGTGATTGAGTGCCAGCACATGTTGTATTTGTATATACAATTTACCTTTTTAAGGGTTAAAACATTCGAAAAATGAGATAGGAAATGGCAATCAGAACTTCCAGACCAGATGTTATAGGGGCTGGAATGTTCCTTTATATAAGCAATCATTTCTGCTGTCTAAATCAATGTTTCCACAATAGAGTGTGTGAATAGG